GATCGCGGAGCAGCGGCCGCGGGGCGCGGGGGGCGGGGCGGGCCTGCGAGCTGTGGCCCGGGCCGGGCTAGCGGAGGGGGCTTTCGTGCCCGCACACTGGCCTCCGTGGAAAACCGCAGGGTTCGTCCTCGGAGAACCCCCTGAAGGTGCAGTGTTCTCCCTCGCAGTCTCAGCCAGGGGAGGTGAAAAGGCAAGCTTCTTGGCTCCCCAGTTTCAAGGGGCCCCGAGACTGGGGAGCTCCCATAGGACTCCCTCCTGGAGCGCGATCCAGGCGGGTCTGCGGCCAGACCAGGAGCACAGAATGTGAGCTCACCGTGGAGACCCGTGGGGCTAGCGCAGAGCTGGATGGCTATTCTGGGCGCCGCGTCCACCCAACCCCCAACACCGCTCCCTGGATTTGTGGGTCTCCGCAAAAGGAATAGGGCTCCCTGGCGGTCGGAGCCCTAGATCCTTTCACCTTCTGACCCCTAGGCGGGGTTAGGACCCAAATGTTGCTCGCCAGAGGACTTTCCTTAGCGGGGTGTGGTCTGGAATTGGCACAATCCTCAGGGCTTGCAGAAGGAGTCACCTGACCCAAAAACAGACAAGGCGAAAGGAACCTCCGTTCACAAAGTGCAGCCCAAACAACTGCACGCGCGGGGACACTGTAGCCCAGAGCGGAGAAGGGCCGGGTCCTCATCGCCTTGGTCTCCCCGAGGCGCTGAGGGCGGCTGCGGGGCTTGGGAGCTGCGCTCGTGGCCCCTGGCGGCGCTCCCCGATGTAGTCTCCTCCTCCTCGGGCGCATTGCCTCCTCTTCCAAGTCTTCGCAGAAGCCAAGTCCTTGGCGCCGGTGAGACTCCCGGGCCAGCGCCCTCGGCTCAAGCCAGAGCCACTGTGACTCGCTGGAGGCGTCTAGAAGGGAGCCTGACTCGGGGCTGCGCTCTCTCCTCCGCAGCGCTGCCCTCTGCTGGCGTAGGCCCGAAGGTCGCGCCTTCTGCCCGGTGCAATCTCCCAGGCATCAGCCTCCGGCGGCTCTGGACCCCGGTCTGAAAGCCAGAGGTTTGCCCACATCCTAGCCTACCCCCGGATGCGACCCGGGATGTCCGAGATCATTGGCCAGAACCCAGCATGCGGAGCTGCCAGGTGTGAGGCCGGACCCCATGGTGGAGGGGGCTCTTTGCCAAGGGGCCTGAGGACAACCACGCCTGGTGGAAAGGCCTGTCCCCCTGCCTCTCCTCTGAGTTCCCACCCTGCGGAGAAGCCTGGGGCGTCGGCTTCCTCCAGCTAACCCGATGCTGTTAACGGAGTCTGACAATGTGGGTGGGGAAAGGCCTGAGGAGGTCTGCAGGTTGGGGGAGGTGTCTCCATGCCTCCCTCCCTTGTCAGCGCTGGAGTTGGGGACCTGAAACTAACCCCAGGAGTCAGAAGAGCCTGCAGGAAGCCGTGGCCTTCCCGCCTGGGCTGTGGGCTCAGCCGCTCCCGTCCGGAGAGAGGCTGCGCTGGCGCTCAGGTGCCTCGGGCCTCGGAGCAGAAGGTCTCCTGGCGGGGTGGGGGCGGGGGAGGAGGGAGGAAAGGGGAGAAGATGGAGGTTGCAGGAGAAAGAGAGGTAGACGGCAAGAAGGAAGGCGTGCAGGAAGGCAACGGGTTTCCCAAGATCACAGCTGAGCGGAGGAGCCAGGAGGCCTGAGTGTGGAGCCCCGAGCCCTCGGGGCCTGGCCAGGGACTGCCTGCCGGCCGTTTCGGAGGACATCGCTCCGGCACGGCTGCTCCCACTCAGTACGGTCCGGGAAACCCTTTCCACCCGCACCTCCCCTGTACCGGCTGGAAAGCCCTTTCCGAGCCACCCTGTGGCTAGTGCGGATTTCGGTCTGCACCTCCGGACCTAGCCCCCCGGCCAGGAGCCCGGCGCCCACCCGTGTCAGTCACGGCCCAGCCCGGACAGCGCCTGCAGCCCGTCAAGCAGCCCTCTTCGCCCAGGGATGGTTTCACACCGACTGAGCAGCAAGCAGAGGGAGTGGAGCGCCCGTTTGAAGCGAAGCGAAGCGCTCGCGCAGATCCATCTGCGCGCCGGGCCTGCGGGTTCTGGGGCGACTACACAGCCCAGGATTTGGTGCCCGGAGCCCTAGGTCGGGCCCAGGAGCTTGGGACCTGTCCGGGCCTGGGACAATGGGTGAGCCCGGCCCTGCCGGAGGCCAGCGTCTCCTCCCGCCCAGTAGAGTCTCTGGGGTCCAAGCAAACTGAACTTCGCTGAGCCCCCTCCCCAGCTCCATCCCCTCCTCTCTTGGAGGCGAGGGGAGCCTCCCTCCCAGCCCGGCTTCCCAAGGGGAGAGGAGGAGGAAGAGGAGGGCGGGGGAGGAAGGGCCGGGGAGGGGCGGGAGGAGCGAATGGGGAGCTGTGGTGGCGAAGGCTCCTCAAGCCGGCCGGGTCCAACAAGTCTGTCCTCCGACGTCAGGGCGTCATTAATAACCAATTAGGAGGGTCACTGGGAGTCTTATAAAGGCGCTGAGGCTTTGCCAAGGCGA